GTTTAGTCAAACTAGATTAGTGTTACGAGTGTGATACGTCATGGCTCAGTGCCAGGACCTTTGCTCTTTTTGATTTACATTGATGGCATACATGAAAGAATGGTGAATAATTTATTAAAATTTCTCGATGACATTGAGTTTTGGGTGTTGTTGGATGTGAGAAGGATGCTACTGTCTTACAAAACGATTTAGATTTAGTGGGCGAGTAAATAGCAGATGGCTTTTAATTATAATAAATGCTAGGTGGTGCAGTGGGATATTACAATTTGAATTTTGAATACATTTTGGATGGGAATAACCTTAACATTCTTAAGGAAAAACTGATGTTGGTGTAATAGTTGGTCAGTCTCTTAAGCCACCCAAGCAATGTGGCAGAGCAAATATCATCTTAGGTTGTATATACAGAAATTAAATACAAGTGTAAAAAGGTTATAATTTCACTCCGTACTTCATTGGCTAGGCCATATTTGGAGTAATTTGCTCAGTTTTGAGTGCCTTACTTTAGGAGGAAAATTAATTTGTTGGAAATGGTTCAGAGAAGGGCTACTAGGATGATACCTGGGATGGAAAGGTTATCATACGAGGATAGGTTAAAATCTCTAAACTTGTTTTCTCTTGAAAAAAGGAAGAGCTAGAGGGGATGTGATTGAGTTATTTAAAATTGCTAAGGAAATTGATATTGTTGATGCACCATCTTTTTTTTTATATTTAATCGTGAGGATGAAAAGACTAGAGGGCAGCAAAGAAGTCATCTTCAGCTAAGATAACTAACAGGGTGGTTGGCCTCTGGAACGGGTTGCCTTCGAATGTGTTTGATGCATTTAATTTAAGAGAGTTTAAGGTAAAGCCTGATCAATATATGAACGATAAGGGCTGGTTTTGAGATTTTTTATTTGAGGGGGAGGTTAGTTAACTTTAATGGATAGGACAGCGCTTAGATAGATCAAAAGATCCCTTGTTTTCTTTAATGTTATGATACACTGTTAAGATTAGGAAATGAGAAATTTTCCCCAGCGTTCATTCAAATGCAGTCTTGAACTTTGTTTTTTGATGAGCTTATTTAACATATGCTTTCATTTGTTACGGTATCAAGCACTGAAAAATAGATAAGTCTGACGAAAATCCCGTTAGTTTGAGTTGAACCATGAAAGTTCGAAGAGGTGAATGGTACCAAGAAAGATTGTGTCATACACAATGTAAAATTTAAGACAATACTGAGATAAAGCCATTTACTGAAATTAGTTGGGCAAAAATACATATTTATGGCAATTGTCAAAACGTGAAAAAGATAGCGATCAATTCTAATTTGTGTCCAACTTGATTGTATTTTTAAATTTTTACTAGCCATTGGCCTTTTAAATTATATTTAAATCTTTTATCTCAATTTTGGATATATTTTAGTTTTAACTCGATTTATTTTTACATTTTATAACAATTTTACTTTCACTGTTTTTACCGGTTGTTTGGCACAGATAGCCTAGTTGCTTTGCGCCATAAAACGCCAACCAACCTTATTTATGAGATGAAAATAAAACATCTTGCAACGAATAGGCGAGCTAAGTTAGTCAAATGTGTCACTGAAGCAGCCAAGATTTCTCTTAACATAGTCATTCTCTCGAACTGAAAACCTTTCGTGATGCTATCTTTAACATATTCAAGAATGTACGCTAACACTTTATTATAGCAGTATTCTGTTCACTTGATTATCCGGTACTGGATCCACCTTTTGGTTATATCTCATCCTTTCATGTGTAAACACAAGGATAATAATCATGATAATGTTCATCCCTTGCAATAAGATCGGCAATTTGAATGTTATCGTCCGATTTTATTTTTACTTCTGCTTCTCTCGGCTGTTACAGAGAAATTTTCCAGTTCATTTAACCCAAACTATAAAACGTATAAATTTGAAAATAAACTAATTTCTCATTTGGAAAATAGAATAAGGCTTTGGCAACAAAATTACAAGAGCTAACTGGTATATTCAGATGAAGTGCCAACTGGTTGAAGCAGCTGAAATTGAATTTGAATAAGCAGCTTCAGAAGAGAGACGACTCGAAGAGTTGGCACTTTTGTTACGTTGGGTGATATTGTATGTCATGAAAGATTCACCCAAACTGTCCTTGCCCCCATCTGCCAATTATTTACTGTCTTAGTCAATAAATCACCTTGAATTACTGAATAAATTTCTTCAAAACCTTATATCCTATAAGTAACCTTCCCAAGCTCCATCCAAAAGATTGCCCTGGCAGGATATATACTACGCTGTCAGCTGTGAACACTGAAAGATGCTTAAACATATGCTACTAAGAATGATTGTCAGTCATAATACAAGTAGTGCAGAAATAGTTACTATTCTCAATAATTTCGGTCATTGTGTATTGTATAGCTGTTTGACAAAGACAGATTGATCAAATAGTTGACAAAGAGTCTTGCAAAATGCATTGATTTCAAGGAACAAGTGAAGAATGGTGTACTTGGAAAAACTCCCCAGTTTCGGGTTCAGTACATAGACAGGGTATGGTCACTGCTAAGATTCATCTGATCTACAATTACTTCGACCTGGAGTTACTGTACATACAAACATTTGTGCTTTACTGTTCAGTATGGACCATCAGAATTATGTTTGCTATCTCTCTGCTTACTTCATTTTTTGTGTTGTTGTTAAATTTGTCCACCTCTTTCTAGAGTAAAATCAATTTTTATGATGTAAAGGTTTTAGTACTTTCAGTCTTCAGTCCCAGCTTCAATGAATATAGTCGACATTAGTACTGAAAAAACAATAAATTCACATGCCAAGTCAAGTAGAAGAATAATCGCCTTTAACAGAAAATTTCCTGCATTATATCGATGATATTTAACAAGACACTACAACCAGTTATTTAACAGCAGGAATAACAGAGACCATCTGAGATATGTTGCTCCCAGAAGTAAGATATTTCGGTGAAATGGAGATCAAATTCTCACCAGGCACTTATCTTGTCAAGCAAGTTACAATACTTAGTGGTTTTGGTAATTTCAATATCTTGAAGTTAACAATACTGCAAGTTTCTTCATTAAGACAACAACTGTATTCTGAACTAAATATCAACTTGTGTAAAGTGAATTTAGTTCAGAAATTAAATGCACGAAGTTGCACTATGCATGTGTATATAACATGTATTTTATTGCAATTAGTCATGTCTAATTACATAAAACATCATTACACTATACATGTGCACATAAATGTGCAAAAATAACATGAATTTTATTGCACCTTGCAATGTCTAACTTAGGTAAAAATATCATTTTCCTCCTTCTTGGTAAATTCTTTACTCTCACTATAATATTTCATCTTTACTCATCCCTCTAACCACATAATACCAGCTTAGTTTTAAGAAAAGGTTAGGGAATTAGAGATGTCACACATTTCTGATGTCTAAATAAAATCCATAAAAAGGCCTTTTGATATAACTAAGTACTTTTATACTTACAAAAATAAAAAGAGCATTGATACATTTATTGGATTAAAGATCACATATAAAAAGAAAAGTTTTTAGACAGGTAGCGCAACGTAATACGCAGGGACGGCTTTAGCAAGTTCGAGGCCCAAGTCAGCTGCCTCGCCTGCCTTACTTCAAAGCCGCCCTGCGTATAGGTATTTACATATGTGAATAACAATCTGGCTGAAGAAACATGTCATACTGTCTTGAGCTAAAATAGCTGAATTTAATTTTAAGTTAACTTAATAGTCATGATAATTTTGATGCAAGGTATAGTAATATAACATAGTAGTTTTCACGTTTGTAAAAACATCCTTAGTTACATATAGTTTTTCAGGACTTCTGTTCTTCTTTAGATTTTGATAGGACAAACATAGTAGTTATCACGTTTGTAAAAACATCCTTAGTTACGTATAGTCTTTCAGGACTTCTGTTCTTCTTTAGA